AAAAAAAAGAAAAAAAAAAAAAGAAAAAAAAAAAAAAAATAAAGAGAAACAAAAAGAAAGTAGAGGAGGGGGGGGGGGGGGGGGTGGAGAAATCAAAGGCGTCAGTATAGAATGGGGGAGCAGCACTACAGGCAACATTACAACAGTACAGTACAGTACAAGACAGCAGTACAGTGAAAGAGATCTGAGATTCTTGGTAGAGGGTACAAGGTTTGTTCTGTAGGCTTATGGTTGATATTTTGCTCTTCCGATTGGTTATGCTTTTGTATGTTGGGTGTTTTAATGGTAAGGCACCCAGAACCGTTCAGGCATTGGGCAAGCTTGAACTTTCATAAAATAAATAAATAAATGCCATCTGAACACAAGCAGTATGATGTAGCTGCAAAAAAAGAAAAAGGGGAAAAAAACAAAAACAAATGCAGTCTCAGAAATACAGTGTCAAGATCAAGAGAAGTTGTAATTCCTCTCTATTTTGATATGGTCAGATTGCACCTAGAATACTTCATCTGTTTCTGGGCACTCTATTTTAGGAAAGGCCTTGACAAACTACAGTATGTCCAAATGAGTACAACCAGGATTACCAGAGGCCTACAAAGAAAAAATATAAGTTACTGCCACTCTTTTCTAATCCCAATAAAGCACTTGATATAAAGTGGTTTTTCATTTCATATGTGCTCCAATACAAGAATTTAGAGATTGGAGTGGGGGGGGAGGGAGACAGATACTTCTCCAGCTTTCCTCCCAAAGCACTACCTCCTTTCCTTGGGTTTCCTTAAAGCAGGGACTGTGGGGTAGCTTCTAGAAATCTGACCACTCACGCATACAAGCTCACCAATGCTTATTTGTTGGGTGCTACATGTAAGCATATGGCAAATAATCTAATGCGGTTTCTGAATCATCTTTGCCCTTACTGTGGCCTTTGCTTTGTCTTACCTTTCTGTTGCAACCCTCCTAAAATTGAACCCTCCTAAAATGTTCTAGAAAAAGTTTATCTGATTTCATCTAATTAATTTCACAGGCTTCCTCTCAAGTTAGCAAAAAATATGCAGAACTACTTGGAAACAGAATAGGATCACAATGTAACAAATTGATAATAGAAATGCTATGAATAGATTATTAAAATATTTATATCAATAGGAGGTCAACCTTACTTATAAAAGTGGTAGCACAGAGAATTAGAGATCTCTCCACCATGCTCTCTCTTAATGTCAACAACATGAGCTCTATTTAGACTAACAGAACAATTTCCTTCTTGCCCATCAGCACAAGCTATAAAAGAGTCAGTTGGTTGGAGAATATGCAGTCCCATGACATACAAGCAACCTTCCAGCCAAGTCGTTGGTTTTGCCTGAAACTGACACTCAGTAAACAATCTTATTCATGATGCACAAGCAGGAATAGGGCACAGCTCACTCCCTCCAACAATAGCAGCCAAGGCTTATTCTTGTTACTGAAGTCAATAGAGAGGATTCAGAATTTACAAAGAAGTTGGTCCCTGCTGTAAAAGAATGTGCTGGATTTATTGAGAGTTTGCAGTGCAAGTAAGGGGAAAGCTTTTGCTGAACTTTACTGGATGAACTTTTAACTCACGCTTATGTACGCACTCAAAATGTGAATAAATTGCATCAGCAAATTGGGAGAAATCCAGGTTAAAATCTCCCCCAATATACAGTATCCTTGATTTGCGTGTGTAATTTTTTGTTCCCACTCAGAGGTGCATAACTTTTTCAGGCTGAAGGCTACATATGGCCTTTGAGTAAATTAAATTAAGTAAATTCATAATTGCCCCTATATATTTAATAATTTTCTCTTATAACAAAAACACAATTTGGCGACAAGTTTCAGACAGCTTTACTCCTTCATGCGGCTATTACAAGAAGATCTTGCTACAGTGCTCCCAAATGGATATCCTACTTCATCCCTTTTCAATCTGGTGTTCTCTAGATGTATTAGGAATATAATTTTCACAATTCTCCAATAACAAAAAGCTGATTGAGTCCCAAAGAACATGGTAGATACCACATTTATAAATTAGATAAAATTAGATCAGTTTCCAAATGTAAAGGGAGGGAATGAAAGTGCTTCATATTTATTCTTCCCAAAGTACATATTTTAAATAAAAACACAATCTTCATTTACTATGGCTTTTTCTAGCTCTAAATCCCATATTTAAGAAATTTATAAAACATGCCATTTTACTCTGTCAGGCAAATTAATTCAAAATTATAAATAAATTATGTAGAATTTATTTCAATTCTGATGTTTATAAAGAGGGGCAATTATCTATGCAGAAATCTAAAGTCCACCTCCCTCATTACTAGAAAATTCCTCTTTGACAACTACAGTTTCACTGGACACTTATCATGCATTTTAAATCTCTGTTTTGAAGTTTTTTGGGGAGACAGAAAAAGAAGAACAGAATTCAAGTCACTGAAGGCTGTATCCACCATATTTCCACCACTGTGATTGCAAACTACAAAACTACATGCAAACTACTGAAGGAACTATATTAAATTTTAGTTGCTCCATCATTTCAAATGCAAAGTTCTAAGACGATTCAGGGGAATCGTATGTCCAAATGAAGCATAGGACTATTTAGGAAAAGAGTCCAATAATTAATTTTACCAATTACCATACACACACAAATTGTGTGTGTGTGTGCATCAATCAATCAATCAATCAATCAAAATCCCCTCTCACCCCTAGGTGTCTTTCTCAATCTCAGGTCCTCTATCAGAGGCCTGGGAGTATGAGGCTTCTGTGCAGTATCTTAGCTGTTCCTAGCACTGCACTCTTCTGGACAGAGAACTCTGATGTTGTTCCGGTGATCTGGGGGAGCCACTCTCCCAGCTTAGGAGTCACAGCCCCAAGTGCTCCTACCACCACTGGGACCTCTTTGGCTTTTACTTTTCACATCCTCTCTAGTTCCTCCTGGTATTTCTCCAGCTTCTCATACTCTTTCTTCCTGATGTTGCTGTCACTTGGCACCGCTACATCTATCACCACCACTGTATTCTGATTCTTGTCTACTACCACAATGTCTGACTG